TCAATGGGGAGATAGACTGGGTAATTGAATTTATGCGTTCAGGCAGGATAACAATCAGTCGCAGCAATTGTTCTTTTGACTTTATTAGGACAAATTGACTGCGTAATGCCCAGAGTCCCCACAGTATAAACATAAATTCTCCAAACGTCTTCTCTCCTTCTCTTGAGTAGAAATTGCTCTTTTAACAGTATCTACTTGCATAGGTTCAGGTGTGTTATAATCTGAAGAAATGTTTAAATCCTTCTGACTGAACTGATTAGCAGAAAAACGCATGCCACCATTACTTCCCAATCTCTCCTTTCTTCTTTCTGTCAGTCTCTGGTCAAATCCGAATGCATAATTGGATGAACTCCTCAAGATCGTTAGGAGTCTCTCTACTCTGGCGAGCTCATCCTTCACCTGTTCAGAGAGCCCCCTGCCGGAACTGACTCTTTTGCGCTGCTGGGTTCCCAGGTCGGTGTCTGAGATTCCAGCGTCGAAATTCAGTTGTATACTCGCAACACAGGGCGTCTACCTTGCCTCAAAACTATGCAGCTTTGCTTCAGCGGTATAGATAGCGCAGCGGTTGGGATCATCAAAGACCTGGTTCATTGCAGTCACAAAACTGTTTAACATTGCATGTGTTTTGCTCTATATAGGGAGAGGCCCAAGCTAGGGCTTCCTCAGTCAGGAGGTTTTATAACAAAACAATACCTTCTGCCTCTCTCAGTATTAAATGCAGCAGGTTGCATCTGGAAATTAAATGCGGCAATTGGTTAAGGAAACCCTGTAGTGGCGGCGGTCTCCATTGAACTTGAGTGGCAGAGGCATGCGGGTATTAGCAACATCGCGGGGAGACAATGTCCAGCAATCATGTCTGCACCAGAGCATGGATCTCTTCCTGTTGCCCCTCTACTACACTTTGCATGTTCAGCAAATTTCTTTTGGTAGTAACACCAAACTCTTGTAGCTCTGAAATTTGCTGCCTGACAGAAGCCATGGCATTTGCTATAGCGGCCTCCATGTGTGGGCCAGATTATTCTGTCACGGTGTTAAGGTCAGGTTCAGAGACCAGTTGCTATAGCAGTAAAAGCTTACCTGGAACCAGCAGGATAGGTACATCCAGCGGATCCCCTGGGAATGACGCAGGCTCACCTGAGGTGCGGGGGTCTAAGTATTAACCGTAGTATTCACCAGAGCTCCTAATGGTGGAGATGGATTGGGCTGCGTGTTAATACCAGGTCGCAGATCTCAGGATCACCCCACCAGGGAATGAGCAGACTGGGAACCAATAGCGGATCAACAGGTTAGGGATCAGACGAAAGCAGAGTCGGGTCACAAGCCCAAGGGTCGGTCACAAATGGTAGCAGATCAATCGTGGTCAGGAACAAGCCAAAGGTCAGTAGCGGAGGTGTAGACAGCAGCAGGAACAGTAGCAGGATATTGGCTGGAAAGGCACAATAATCTGGCAAGGAGGAAGTCCAAGGACATGGCTTATATAGGAGTTCATGGGAGGAGCAAGGAGTTCAAGGTTCAAGAGCAAACAAGGCACAAGGCAGGATTATCCAATAGATGAGGCAAAGTGTTGTCCAGCATCCTAGGTAGCTCAGTGAGTAGAGTTACTGCCTGACACAGTAGAAGTCCCAGGTTCAAGTCCAGGCCCTGACAAAACTGCTTTTTCTTCAGAGCAGACACAGGTAGGAAACTTCAACAAAGTATGTTAAAACCTGCAATGTATATTGTATTTTTTTCAGGTCCAAGTATTTGTTAAGATTTTACTTGGTAATCTTGCTGTTCCCCTCCTATAACCCATTTTCTGGTGCAGGGCCAACAACACTACTGAAATGGTTGACTCCCTAGGTGCTGTCAACAGCCAGAAGCTGCAATGCTAGTGTGCATGTGTCAGAATTGTACCTGAATCTTATGTGTGGTGACTCCCTCTAGTGATCATGCTTGGTTATGGTGTCTGGTGGCTCCCTATTGTCCATGTGTTGGTTTGTTTCAGGTGCTGACGACATGTGTGCAAGATCCCTCTACTGTCTATGCATGGTTTTGTCTCTAGTGTCTCCCTCTAGTGCAAAATATGCGTGTGCTTCAATGTGTGTGTGCAGGCTCCCTCTACTGAGCTTGTACAGTTTTTGTGTTTGGGGCACCCCCAGGTTAGAGTTGCTACCTCTTTCCTTTAAAACCAAACACATATTAATTACACAGGTTCTGTGGCCGATTAATGTGGCAATTGAACTCACTTAGCTCCTTATCTGCATTAAATTAGCCTTAGAAGCTGTGTAATTAATGTATTCGGGTTTAAAGGGATGAGGTGGCAACCCTACCCCAGGTGCTTATGTGCGATCTTTACATTGATTTATTTTGATTTTACACATCTCTGCCACCCTGTAGCAGTACTTCTGCTATAGGCGGTCGGTAAGCGGTTAATTATCAGCACCCTGCACCAAAATCAGTGTGCCAGGAAGAACTGGTATGTTTACGAAAGGATGGGAGTGTTTTGCAGACCTGATTGTGTTCTAATTTATAGTTTAAATAAATACTGCATTTTAGGGCACACTAAGAGGCAGGGTCAGGCTGTATGCATAAGTACATGTATTAGGGTTGCCACCCTCATTCCTTTAAAACCGAACACACTAATTACACGGGTTCTGGGGCTAATTTAATGCAGATAAGGCACTAAATGAGTTTAATGACCACCTTAATCAGCCACAGAACCTTTGTAATTAATGTGTGTTTGGTTATAAAGGGATGAGGTGGCAACCCTAAAATGTAGAAGTACATGTACCTTTGCTGGCCTGCTCTTTGAAGTTCTTCCAGTGATCTCTGCACACTTCTCCTCACCATGAGTGATCTCCACTTGCCTATCATTTTATCAGTGAGCCTGACACCTAGGACGGCATGCACACTGAGAGTTTAGCCCTTGTGCGTCAGATCCTGACCTTCTCATGTGCCTGGGAGGCTAGGGTTGCCACCTCATCCCTTTAAAACTCAACACAAATTCATTACACAGGTTCTGAGGCTAATTTAATGCAGATAAGGTACTAGGTGAGTTTAATGACCACCTTAATCAGCCACAGAACCTGTGTAATTAATATGTGTTCGGTTTTAAAGGGATGAGGTGCCAACCCTACTGGGAGGCATGGGGCTATATCCAGCCCTACTGCCAGCAGCCTGTCAAAATCAATGACAGGTTGAAATATACAGCAGCTGGACTATGGACCGAATGGTCCTCACATATAAGCTAGTATGTATTCAGGAATGTACGCAAAAATAGAGTACTTCCCGGAATGCATATGGCGCTAAACACAAATACCGATCAGTAAAGTCTAGCATAGATTTTGATGCACAAAAATGCCAGGATCAGATGCACATGAGCTAAGTGTGCATGAGGCCTAATTCAGACTACCTGGGCCAGTTAGGGCATTCACGCAGCACCAATACATCTCTGCAATCCCACCAAATCCAGTCAATAAAGAGTCGTTCTATTTTATCTGATGCCAAGAGTTCCCTTTATTTTTGGAATGGATTTCTTGTGAGTTCACTTCAAGTTCAAACTCAAACTTCTACAAACTCTCTGCAAAGTGCACAGGAAGTCTGCAGGGTCTGCTGCAACAGGCTCTTCCTTACATGGTCACATCTGTTTAATTACACCAACTAGGTTGATCAACACCATATCCCATTCATTGTACTATGAAATGTCTGATTAAATATGCAGAACTAGGCTGTGACTGTCAATGGAAGTCAGCCAGCATCACGGTTCAGGAGATGAATCCATTCTTGTTTACTGGAAAAAAAAAGGAATCAATTCCCACTGGATAAGCTTTCCATTCTCTTCAACAGATTGCAGTTTATTTTGGTGTAAGTAGAGGATGGATGAACACAAATAACAACTGTTGTGTGTTGCTTGTCAGTAGCACAGCATTTCTCATCAAATCAGACGTGCAGCAGAAAACATTTTCATTGTGGATACAGCCATTTTGGATCATTTCCTGCAGTGTCCAGACACAGAGCTCTTCACCATTTACTTAGCTTTCTGCTCTAAACTCAACTCCAGGAAAATATAAAAAAATCCATCCTTGCAACTCCCCCCTGCGCTGCAAGGGTTAATTGATCAATTAAGCAGGTCATGCACGAATTTAAATTCAGTTGGTTAGGCAGGGACCGGCCAAATTTTGTCTTGATCCATGTATGGAAAGAGAGGATGTCTGCCCTGTTGAATTCTTGCTGCTCAAACAATGCCACCAGCTATAGCCCGCTGTCAAAATAAATTATCTCAGTTGAGGATTTCCCCATCCATCGGTATAGGGGAATCGTATCAGCTGGTTGAACAAAAAAAAATAATGACTCATGTATGGGCTGCTTTATTCTAGGGCAGAGGTCTCCAAACTGCGGCCCAGGGGCCAGATGTGGCCCTTTGCTTGCTTTTATCTGGCCCTTGTGGCACTATTTATTCCACTGACACCAATTAATTCCTCCCAGTGATACCAACGATGGGGCACAATTCCAACTAATAACACCAAGGATGGGGCACAGTTCATCCTAATGATACCAAGAATGGAGCCCAATGACACAAATGATGGGGCGCAATTTCCCCAATGACACCATCGATTGGGCACAGTTCCTCTCACTAACACCAAAGATGGGGCATTGTTTATTCCCACTGATGCCAAAACATTTTCCAGTCTGGCCCCCTAAAGTCTGAAGGACAGTAAACTGGCCCTTTGCTTAGAAAGTTTGGAGGCCCCTGGTCTAGGAGCTCCAGGCTGCCCCCCAAAAATTAAAAGCCAGCAACTACAAATCCTGTAGCTGCTGACTTTTAATTTAAGGATACTTACCTGTTCAGGGATATCCTCACTTGAGTCAATTCTTCAATCGGCTTCTGGTGCAGGGGCCGGGATCTTAAGTAAGGGTTTCCTACTGCACATGCGCAAAGTGTGCTGCACTTTGTGAATGGTCTTGTGAATTGTCCCAGAAAGATGCGGGGGGAAGGAGCAGGACCAAACTTCCAGCCAGGGGGGGCGGACTGACCATTTAGGCACTCGGGCACTGGCCGAGGGCCCGGGGGTCAGTAGGGGGCCCCATCAGATACCCCTGGTACCTTTCATAGGCTTTTTTGGGTGTGGTTTGAGTGTTGGTGAGGACACAGTGGCCCCATGATTTCCTATTGCCCAGGGGCCCCATGAGTTGTCAGTCTGCACCTGCTTCCAGCTCAGATCACTGCAGTGATCAGGTACCCACTCCCCCCATAAAAGTGCCAAATGTGGCAGTGGAGAGGGGAGGATACAAACAAGCGGAATGTCCCCTTTTGCGTGAAAGAGAAAATACTTTGGAGTTGTGCGTTTGTAACTGGATGTATTTTTTTATAGTGTGAGATAAATAATTCAGGGAGGTAAATCTATCTTTACCTTAGTAAACAGTGTGCTGGAAATTATATGGCATGCAAAATAAGAAATAGAAACTATAATTATAATAATTGTAGAGGCTTTTTTTACATATCTTGCTTCCTTTTAACCGTGGAAACAGTAATGAAGTAATCCATACAATATTACAGTTTTGTAACCTACAGTTGCAAGAAAAAAGTATGTGAACCCCTTGGGATTATGTGGAGTTTTGCATGAATTGGGCATAAAATGTGCTCTGAACGTCATCTAAGTCACAACAATAGAAGAACACAGTCTGCTGAACATAATACTACACAAACATTAGATGTTGCCATGGTTTATTTGCACATAACATGTAAACATTCACAGTGCAGGGAGGAAAAAGTATGTGAGGCCCTAGCTTAATGACTTTTCCCAGAGCTAATTAGAGCCAGGAGTAAGCCAACCTTGACTCCAGTCAGTGTGATGATTTTGGATGTGTTGCTGACAGCTGTCCTGCCCTTAAAAAACACACTCCTGTTTTGGGTTTACTGGTTTCAAGAAGCACTGTCTGATGTGAACCATGCCTCGCAGAAAAGAGCTCTCAGAAGACCTACGATCAAGAATTGTTGACTTGCATGAAGCTGGAAAGGGTTACAAAAGTATCTCCAAAAGCCTTGATGTTCATGTGTCCACGGTAAGACAGACTGTCTAAAAATGGAGAAAGTTTAGCACTGTTGCTACTCTCCCTAGGCGTGGTCGTCCTGTAAAAATGACTGCAAGAGCACAGCGCAGAATGTTGCATGAGGTAAAGAAGAATCCCACAGTGTCAGCTAAAGACCTACAGAAATCTCTGGCACATGCTAACATTTTTGTTGACACATCTACAATAAGGAAAACATTAAACAAGAATGGAGTACATGGGAGGACACCACGGAGGAAGCCATTGCTGTCCAAAAAGAATATTGCAGCACGTTTGAAGTTTGCAAGAGAGCACCTGGATGTTCCACAGCACTACTGGCAAAATATACTGTGGACAGATGAAACCAAGATTGAGTTGTTTGGGAAGAACACACAACACTATGTGTGGAGAAAAAAAGGCACAGCACACCAACATCAAAACCTCATCCCCACTGTAAAACATGGCGGAGGGAGCATCATGGTTTGGGGCTGCTTTGCTTCAGGGTCTGGACGGATTGTTGTCATTGATGGGAAAATGAATTTCAGAGTTTATCAAGACATTTTGCAGGAAAACGTCTGTCTGCCAACTGAAGCTCCACAGAGGATGGGTGATGCAACAGGACAATGACCCGAAGCATACAAGTAATTCAACAAAACAATGGCTGCAACAGCACAGAATACGCCTTTTGGAGTGGCCCAGTCAGAGTCCTGACCTCAACCCGATTGAAATGCTGTGGCATGACCTTAAGAGAGCGATTCACACCAGACATCCCAAGAATATTGCTACACTGAAACAGTTTTGTGAAGAGGAGTGGTCCAAAATTACTCCAGATCGTTGTGCAGGTCTGATCTGCAACTACAGGAAATGTTTGGTTGAGGTTATTGCTGCCAAAGGAGGGTCAACCAGTTATTAAGTCCAAAGGTTCACATACTTTTTCCTCCCTGCACTGTGAATGTTTACATGTTATGTGCAGTTAAACCATGGCAACATCTAATGTTTGTGTAGTATTATGTTCAACAGACTGTGTTCTTCTATTGTTGTGACTTAGATGACATTCAGAGTACATTTTATGCCCAATTCATGCAAAACGCCACGTAATCCCAAGGGGTTCACATACTTTTTCTTGCAACTGTACTTCATTATTTTATCATAAACATACATTACATATATAACATACATGGAGTAGACTGGTATGAAGTACAGTGGGGCAAAAAAGTATTTAGTCAGCCACCAATTGTGCAAGTTCTCTCACTTAAAAAGATGAGAGAGGCCTGTAATTGGCATCATAGGTAGACCTCAACTATGAGAGACAAAATGAGAAAAAAAATCCAGACAATCACATTGGCTGATTTGGAAAGAATTTATTTGCAAACTATGGTGGAAAATAAGTATTTGGTCAATATCAAAAGTTCATCTCAATACTTTGTTATATATCCTTTGTTGGCAATGACAGAGGTCAAACGTTTCCTGGAAGTCTTCACAAGGTTGGCACACACTGTTGCGGGTATGTTGGCCCATTCCTCCATGCAGATCTCCTCTAGAGCAGTGATGTTTTGGGGATGTCACTGGGCAACACGGACTTTCAACTCCCTCCAAAGGTTTTCTATGGGGTTGAGATCTGGAGACTGGCTAGGCCACTCCAGGACCTTGAAATGCTTCTTACGAAGCCACTCCTTCGTTGCCTGGGCGGTATGTTTGGGATCTTCGTTATGTTGGAAGACCCAGCCACGTTTCATCTTCAATGCCCTTGCTGATGGAAGGAGGTTTGCACTCAAAATCTCATGATACATGGCCCCATTCTCCTCCAAACACGACGAGTTGTGTTTCTATCAAACAGTTCTATTTTGGTTTCATCTGACTATATGACATTCTCCCAATCCTCTTCTGGATCATCCAAATGCTCTCTAGCAAACTTCAGACGGGCCCGGGCATGTACTGGCTTAAGCAGGGGGACACATCTGGCACTGCAGGATCTGAGTCCCTGGCGGCGTAGTGTGTTACTGATGGTAGCCTTTGTTACGTTGGTCCCAGCTCTCTGCAGGTCATTCACTAGGTCCCCCCGTGTGGTCCTGGGATTTTTGCTCACCGTTCTTGTGATCATTTTGACCCCACGGGGTGAGATCTTGCGTGGAGCCCCAGATCGAGGGAGATTATCAGTGGTCTTGTATGTCTTCCATTTTCTAATTATTGCTCCCACAGTTGATTTGTTCACACCAACTGCTTGCCTATTGCAGATTCAGTCTTCCCAGCCTGGTGCAGGTCTACAATTTTGTTTCTGGTGTCCTTCGACAGCTCTTTGGTCTTCACCATAGTGGAGTTTGGAGTGTGACTGTTTGAGGTTGTGGACAGGTGTCTTTTATACTGATAACAAGTTCAAACAGGTGCCATTGATACAGGTAATGAGTGCAGGACAGAGGAGCCTCTTAAAGAAGAAGGTACAGGTCTGTGAGAGCCAGAAATCTTGCTTGTTTGTAGGTGACCAAATACTTATTTTCCACCATAATTTGCAAATAAATTCTTTCCAAATCAGCCAATGTGATTGTCTGGATTTTTTTTTCTCATTTTGTCTCTCATAGTTGAGGTCTACCTATGATGCCAATTACAGGCCTCTCTCATCTTTTTAAGTGGGAGAACTTGCACAATTGGTGGCTGACTAAATACTTTTTTGCCCCACTGTATATAACATATAACACAATGTACAGAATAGACTTTTATGGATAACATAAAATGCAACGCACAAAGTGGGTTGGTATGAAGTATATAATGTACACCAAAGTGTACAGAACGGAGTTGTATAAAGCATGTAACATGCAACACAGTGTATAGAGTGATCTGGTATGTTGTATATATCATACAATACATAGTAGACTGGTATGAAGTATACAATGAATAACACAAACGCACACAGTGGAGTCTTATGGAGTATATTCAATACAGCACACTAAGTAGGTTAGTATGAAGTATATAACATGCATTACATTGTACAAAAAACTGGTAGATAATATACAAGGAGTACAGTGTGAATTGTTATTGTGAAAATAACATGCAACACAGTGTACATAGTGGACCAGTATGAAGTTTACAACATAAAACACAACAATGTACAAAGTAGATTGTTATGCAGAGGCGTATTTACCACAAGCCAAACAAGGCACTTGCCTAGGGCGGCATTTTTCATGGGGGGCAGCACCTCCCCCCAGAAAAAGGGATGAAAGAAAGGATACGTGCACCATGGAAACCAGGTGGGATCCGAGACAAGCTGTGGGGTGCTTGATGGTGTATGTAGAGCCTGGCTCTCGTTCCCGAGAATGTCAGAAGCTGTGAAGGTGAGTGTCTATCTATTGCTGGTAAGGGGGGTAGTGGAAGGCCCTGAGGGGTGGGGGGCAGGGGTGTTGTTGGTCAATGTCAGGCTCTCTCCGTGGGAGGGGGAAGGCTGGGTTGAGTTGATCGGTGTCTGTGGGAGCAGACGATTTTTGTGTTGCCTAGGGCAGCACAAAACCTAAATACACCACTGCTGTTATGGAATATATACAATACAGCACACAAAGTGGGCTAGTATTAAGTATAAAACGTACACTAGGGTGTACAGAGTGGGCTGGTATGGAGTATATAACACAAACTGATATAAAGGTACAGTATATTATTATTATACAGGAGTTATATAGCACCAACAGTTTGCGCACTGCTTTACAATGTAAGGGAAACAGTACAATTACAATACATTTCAGTACAGAAAACAGTATATAAAGTGGAGTATATACTGTAGTTTAAAATGAGCTTCTATAGTAGACTCTTCCATTACCAAACATCAATCAGTGCAAAAAATATAAACTTTTAAATAAAAAATTGTAAATAAAATAAAAACCAAAAAATGTGTAGTGTGTAGTACTGCCATACCAGCTGATAACCACTTAATGAAATTCCCATACTGATCAGCAAACAAAGCAAATATAAATAGTGCAGCACTAGCATTAAATCACTATAAATCATAAATCAAAATCTATTGCTAGAGAATATAGGTATGAATAAAACCAAAAGGTCCTCCACAATAGATTATAATGTAGTGTCCTCTGCCTTTAAATATGTGCCACCGTCCGTGTTCAAATTCAGTGTTACTACATGCATAAACCACCACCAGATGTGCTTTTATCTTCCTTCATTGACCTCACAGTAAT